GAGGCTTTCCAAAAATTACGATTTTTCAAATATATATTATAAATATATTTGGTAGTGTCTATCCAAATGAAAAATAACAAAATTCAAATTTGATAGGTAGGTAGTAAGCATCAAAAAAATTTCGATCTTATAAAATATTGGTGAGTCATTGAAACTCTGGGAAATTTTTAATATAATTTATTTTTTTTAAAAAATAAATATGCGATCGTGTGGATATGGGTGGAAATTTTTTGATGTAATAATAATTCAAAGTTTCATTACTCAAAAGTTTTAAGAATTTTATATATTTTTTCTTGTGAAAATTTTCATAATTCTTTAATTTTACATTAAAAATAGAGGTCTTTAAAAATTTTAAGAAGGCATGCGCTATACTGGATGATACTAAGTTAGACTATTAAATCAAATATTAGATAATTAAGCAATTTATTTGAATAAACAATGATTATATAGTTATATATAATTTTAAAGAAAAGCAAAAATAGTTTTATAAATTTATATCATTTAAAAATTCTGTTCCGCCTCTTCACAATTCAAATTTCTCAGATTTTTTTCTTAGTTGATATATTAAATTCGTTAAAACATTTCATCACAATTATTTCGACAGCCACAGATAGTACATTCATTGCCTTCTTGCAAGAATTATGTAGTATATGGGATATACAGCCAATTTGTATTAATTCATTATTGTGCTGCCTCAATTCGGTAACTTTGGTTTTTGCCAAAATTTACAGAGGCATTATCAGAGCGTAAAGCTGACATGTAAATCATTGATAACCCTGAATCAGCTATATTTACCATTATGTGGCTAGCTACATTGTTGGATTTTTCACTATCCGAGGAAAATTTTTTAACAGTTTTATTGAAATGTTCTTATTCTTGTTGAAATGGCGAAGGATCGAGGGAAATGTTTTAATATTTCCCTTATTAGATGCATCTGTTAGAATTGCATATGGATGCCCATCTTTCAAATCGTCTAGAATTGATTTCTAGGATTCAGATACTAAATCACTTGTGATCCTTGCTCATTTTTGTTCTGCCACAAGTAAGGTTTGCACTTATATTGGAGTCGTTAAATATCATGAGAAAAAGATTCGACCCACATTGTGATGATATAGTTCTGTGAATGTTGAACTACATGATAGATGTATACAATTTCCGCAAATGTAGTTGCATCTGTATTATTTATTATTTTTGAGAATATTTTTGTATTGCAATCGATGTTGATATACTTCCCTGTACTGACTTATATGAATGAAATGATGTTGAATTATTATTGGATAAAATAAATCAGGATAGAAAGAAATTTACAAACTAGACATGTTTTTCGAATAAATATTTAAAATTTATTTTAAAATATAAAAATAATCAATTAATGTCTCTCAAAATTATTATTTATATATTAAAAACGTTAAAATACTTAAAAAAAAATTGCGGGAGAAATTAAAAAATTGCGGTAGATGCGGGAGATTTCCAATTGCGGTAGTTTTGCGGGAGAGAGGTCTGCGTGTAAACTAAAAAATTGCGAGAGTCTCCCGCTGATGGAGGGAGACATGGCAACCCTGTTTCAATGTCAATAACCTGGCTGAAAATACAGACAAAGGTGATGACAGTGCTTTTATGACTACTTTTAAATTAAATAATGTTACTACAACTATGCAAGTCGATACTGGATCAAAATTCATCATCATACCACATGAGATGGCTAAGAAAATTGGCATAAGAGAAATGAAGAAATCCAGGTTGAAACTTACATTATACAATGGAAACGAAACTTAATTAAGATCATCGGGAGTAGTTGTAGAGTCAAGAAAGAACGCGTTGTTAGGGAACCTGGATCAATGCCTTTAAAAATATTTTAAATAAATCATATCAAATATCGACATCAATTATGAAGATAAAATTAATAAACTAATTAAAGATTGTGAATCCAAATTGACCAGCGAACCAATTAACAAATTAAAGTCAAATTATATTTATGAAGTGACGCCTAAACTAAAATAATACCACCAATACGTATACCTTATTCAAAGATTGATTGGGCAAAGAACTTAATAGATGGATACATGAAAAAATTATTGAGCCGGTAAAAGATGTTCGATGGGCGAGTTTTATAACTGCCGTATACAAAGATGATAAGAGAAACAGGCTTTGCACTGATTTTAAAGACACTATTAACCCAGCTCTGGAAGATTTCAGATACCCACTTCCACGTATAAATGATCTAATAGCTAAATTTTCGAAGTGGCCCCTACACTTTCTGAGCGAAATTCCCCTGAAAAGTATCCCCTTGAAAAGTACCCCCTCCCTCTTGAAAAAATGATAATTATTTTATGACACCCATAAATTTCAAAAATATTTATCAATTTTTAATATATAATATAAATAAAATGCAAAAAAATATACTTTATAAATATTATTTTTAAATTAATAATTTAGATAAATTAGGGGAAGAGAAAGCGAAAGAATTTATAATTTCATCAATATTTAATTGTTTAAATAAATTTTTTTCCATTGATAATATGGTTAAATTATTGAGAAATGAATCTTTCATGGTACTACGAAGTCTTGTTTTAATTAATTTAATTTTACTCATGACTCTTTCGGTAGTACATGAGGTTGTAGGAATGGTTAATAAATATTTATATAAAATTCTTAAATTAGGGATAGCAGAAAAATTTTAAAGTAGACGATAAGGTAAAATAAATGAATAGTTTTTCCAATCTGAATCATAAGTCCCTGAATTATCATCATCATCAGAAGAAGCTAAATAATGTATTGGTAAAAATATTTTAATTAAATAAATTTACAATTCTCAGAATCTGACAAATTTTTATATTCTTGAACCTCTAGGATATAAGTAATAATTACATTCCCCATTTTGGCCATCTTATAAATATTTCTAAACATCAACATTTCTTCGAAAATTTGACTTGATTTAAATTGTAAAATTCACAGATATCCTTGATATCTTCTTTAATAATTGATTTTTCTGCCATTCCCTTTGGCGTAAAAAATGATGTTTCATGTAAAAATTTCATCAAATCATCATTAAACCTTTCGTTAAACTGCATATATTGTATTCATTAAAATTTAATAAAGCTAAATTAATATTTATTACCAGTAGAGAGATAATAGGAATTTATTGTTCTACTTTATCAAATCTCTGCTTTGTGTCTGCCTTTAAAAAAATATAGCAGAGATAAAAATAAGAGTGATTAAATGACCTCAGGTTCACTAATTTCATGATCATTATCAGAATCATCTGATACTATATTTTCTTCTAACACATTTTCTTTATTATTAGGACACTTTTAAAAGATAATTATAATAATTAAAAATATTTATTATACCAACAGCATTGAATTCCTAATTCTTACTTCTTTTTTCTTAAATTGCGAGATTTAATACCCTTTATAATAAGATAAGTATAAATAATTAAATATTTAATAAAAAAATTACTTTTCTATTTGTCCAATTTTAAGTAACATTCTTAAAAGCTACTATTTCAAAGCTTTTCTTTATATCGTTAAAATTAAGCCCACCATGTCTATTTCTAATGTGATCTATCCATTTATCATCTCTTATATTATGCGATTTGCAATTTTTAATTGGGCATTTGTATTTTTTTGGTTATTATTTCTGCATATTTTAAAATTGGATAAATAATTTATGAAATCTCGGATAACAACCTAATTTACTAAACATCGAACAAAATTTCGGTCAATATATATTAAATTAAATATTAAGTGGGGGGGGGGCTCTTATTATTACATTTATAAACCAGAAACACTTGATCATGATGGATGTAACAAAACAGTAAAAAAAATAAATAATAAAGAAAAATTTTAAAAAAAATTTTAAAAAAAGAAGTACCCCCACTCAAATTTACTGAAGCAGTTGCTTCGGACCCCCCCCCCCCCCATTGTAGGGGCCACTGATTTTCGGAAGGAAAGAACTTTACTAAAATCGATTTCAAAAATGCTTTTCTACAAGTTCCGATCGATAAAAATAGAGGAAATATTTTGACTATATTCACACATATGGGATACTAACAATTTACCAGACTTCCTTTTGGGCTTACTTCATCTGTTATATTTCAACAATCAGATTCGATGATATGAAAGATGTTTTATTTTATATTGATGACTTACTGATTACTAGAAGTAAAGATGGCACATTTAAACAACATCAAAAAGGTGCATGAAAGAATATTATCAAACGGTTTAGTACGTAACTTCGCCAAAAGCTTATTTTTTAAAAACAAAGTTAGGTAGCTGGGTCACGATAGTGACAACAAGGAGATTTATGCAAATCATGACAAAATTGAAACAATATTTAACATGCCAGAGCCAAAATCAGCTGCTGAGTTCTCAACATTTCTGAGCATGGCTGCTTACTATAGAAAATTTTTGAATAACTTTGCTGAAATTGCTGATCCTATATACAAAATTGTCAACATAGAAAAATGGGAATGGAACTTAGAACATTCCAGAAGTTTTAATAAAGATGGAGATTTTGCTCAAGTCGAAAGAGAGATTTGGACCACTATTTGCCAAATCTCGAGGCTTACATAATATTATATTTGGTTGAAATCCTAATCGGGCCATTTTTAAAAATCCCAAATCGGGCCCTTTAACACTAATAAGGAAATTAATGTAATCAAAATAAGTTTAGTATTAAATATACCTTCAGTTGTTTTATAATTTTGTGTCACTTCCAATACACTTTTTCTGTTGAGGAAATATCTGTAGGCCCAGCTATTCTATGTATAGCATATTAAAATTTTTTAATAGAGTATATCCATAATTCTATTAGATTTATATTTTATTGGGCTGTCTAAAAAATAATTTTCTAAAAATCAATAATATATTATTGTTTGCATTGAATCCTTATCGATGTTTCTTAAATAATTTAAATTTACCACTATTAAATAGACCAATCAGAAAGTGGAAGAAATTCACGATCAATTGACACGATCTACGAAAAATCTATTATTTTAACATAATTAACTGAATGAAATAATGTTATATTAACTTAATTGGTTGTATGCTAATTAGATTATTTTAACATGTATATAATTATTTATTTTACTAAATAAATTTCTTTTCAACTATTTTTGTAATATATAATTCTCAATCTTTGGGTTTTGGCAAAGTCAATTCTATTTATTCTAACTTGAATATGTCTATTAATATCAATTCAACAGTAATATACAAGCATAATTTAAATAATTTTCATTACATGAAGAAACAATTTGATGAAGCTTTGGAATCAAATAAAGATAAATTAATTGTTGTTTGCTTTTATGCAACATGGTGTGGTCCTTGTAAACAAGTTGCACCATTATTTGAAGTTTATTTAAAAAAAATAATATTTATAGAATACATTTAGGCAATGGCTATCAGTATGACTAACATTGCTTGTCTCAGAGTAGATTTAGATTCTTATAGGGTTATTATCTCTTTGTAATATGTTAATTATTTTATACAAAGGAATTGGTGAAAAAATATGAAGTTACTTCTGTGCCTACTTTTATTTTTATAAAAAATAAGCAAAAAGTATAATAAAAATTTATTTGTAAATATATTTTTACATTAGGTTGATATAGAATGTGGTATAAACTTTAATAATGTTAGAGAAAAAGTGAAAAAATATTCTTAAATTCCCTATGATCTTTTTTTTATTCAATTTATTCACTCAATAAAATAATAAAATTTATAATACTATTTTATTGATAATTTTAATTCAATATTAATATTAAATTTGTAATTTTCTTGTATTAATAAACTAAAATCTATTTTTTACCAATTGTTCTGTTCTTAATTTGCAAATATTTTTACTAATAATTTGAGTTGTCTCTAGACCTGTCATACATCCCACTTTAAGTTATGCTGTATTGCTAAATAAATTTTATCACCTGCAGAAAAAAACAAGACTAAATGTCTTGCTAAATTTTATATTCTGCCAAAAATCATAAACTTTTATATTTTAATCTAAAGAAATTAAAATTATTTTTATACATTATATTACATTAACTGGAAATTTTGTCAAATTTTATATTTTTGGATTTTTTTTAAGTAAAAAACTCTTATTGTGACCTAATTATATTCCAAATATCATATTATATCCTTCTAGACTAGCGATGAACATTGTTGGCTAATGTGATAATAGTGTTAATTTTTGTAAAATGATGGAGTCTAAATAAATTAATGATTATTTATGCTAAAAGGCTATAACAGCAGCTAAAAAGTGCATAGAATAAAGTTTCTGCCAGCAGGCTGTAACTGCAGCTATAACTATGAAATGATAATATATTCAACAGATTAAAGAATAAAGTAATGAATCTTAATTTTTTTTATTACACATATGTTTGTTGAAGAATGGACAAATCTTGTAAATACATACATGCGAAATGGTTATCATTAATTCCTGCATTCATTGAGCCATTAGTGCTGACTCAGGAGTTGGCTCGAATCAACTTAGTAGTTGGTTGAGTTTAATTTTGAGCTGATTTTTTTTGTGAGATATTTCAAGAATATAAGTAAAATTTGTGTGCAGTTTTTCTACGGTGGATTCAGAATTTAGCTACTTCAATGAGCAACATGAGTGGGTTAGCTGAATTTTCTCTTGAACTTTTAGGTCACACATGCTTAATTATAACTACAAATAAATTATTAAAAAAAACTATTTACCACTCAGATTCAGATGTTTTATAAATATATTAAAAAAATTGACCACTAATATTTTTTAATCGAATAATTATAAAACCCTGGTGAACCAATAAACATATTGGTCAAAGAATAATGACAAAAAGGTCAGGTGTAAATTACCAAGATGTAGGGCATTACCAAAGGTTAAATGCTGTTTAGATGGTAATATTTTTTCACACATTGCTTTATGGAAAGTGGACAATTGTGGGAAATTATGTGTGATGATAGGAAAACAATGGGAAATTTCTTTAAAAAATACAGGTATGTTTTATTAGAAATATATAGATTATTAATAAATTATTACAAGAAATATGATTTAATTTCAAGTTATTTAATTTGTTATATTTGTTTGAAGATGAAAGCTATTCCAGATCTCAATCAAACTAATAAAATTTATATTCCAGTCCATTCTTATATTTGTCCAGTCATCAAAAGATGTAGTGATTGACGACAAATATTTAAGTTTATAGCCATTTGTAAGCATTACTTAATTATATGTATATTTTTATTTTAGATTTATCGCGATAATATTTCATTTTTTAGATGTATAAAATTATTTTTTATATATATATAATGATGCTTCTCCCGATTTTTGAATTACTTTTTAATTTCCCAGCGTGATTATGGTATTTGGTAATTTTATTTTTTTTACGATTAGTAGCTTCCCTTTAGAAGGGAAGCAAATAATAGATGCCGAGTCGCGCCTACCACTAATTGCCACGTCTCTAACATCATTCACCTCATGCCCTGGCGGCCTTCCATAAAGAGCTGGGAAAACGGATTTCTACCAGAATTGAGGTTTCCAATGAGGGATTCTACCTGAGTCAAAGGCAATAAAATACAACTACCTCAGCTTTATACCCTAAATGATGGACTAATAAACATCCTATGCATAGGATATATTTGCTCCCAATTATAAAGTTAACGCTAAAAAGGAACCTGGATATCAATAAATAAAATACAGCAAAAATTAATGACTATATAATTATGATTTACTAATATTATACTTTTTTTCCAATTTTTTCCAATAATTGTGAACATTAACGAATATATATTGTCTAAATAAATGATTAATAAAAAAAAAATTGTAAAATGTAAAATTGATTTCATTATTTTTTTCTCTTTAAATTTATTATTGTAATATTTTATCTCTTTCCTTTATATTTTAATAAAAAGATTATCGGTTTGATAAAAGATTATTAATATTTTACATGTGATTTTTTTTGGAAGTACATTCTAGATAAAGAGGAACAACCAATAAGGGATAAATTTTTATTTTTTATTATATTATCTTTCAGTGATCTATATTGTTAATTCCTTTCATATTCACTTTTTTTTTTAAAACTATTTTATTAAATTTATACTGAGTAAATATCCTGAGAGAATTTTAAATGCTGTTTTTAAAGATTGTAATAATTTATCGTAAAATACATATTGCATTATGGGAAATAGGTAATTTAACATAAAAATGGCTGTTGTGAAATTATCAATATATTGTGTTAAAATTTATTTTCAGAAATTTAACATTATTAGTTATATTAATACTACCCGGCCTTTAAACCATTATTAATAGTTTTTAAATATATTTCGATCATTAAATTTTTTTTTATCCCGATAAAGCATTACCAGAGCTGAGCCATTATTATATCATCGAAAATGAACGTACACACAAAAAAAAATTACAATTATGATATATGGACCAAGGGGGAAAATACATTAAAAAAATATAATAAATATTCTTATTATTTGATTAAATAAGCATATTTGAAAATAATAGGGGTAATTTCCTGGTATAGTTAATTATAAAAATTAGAAATAGATATCAAAATTTGAACAGAGCCGTATAAATAGCACTTCTGTAAATCTCTGATAGTGTTATATATAGACGGATAATAGAAGAATAAAACAAAATTGAGTTATATAATTTTATTTTAATATAAACATCTAAGTATAAATCTTAAACAAATTTTATTCTTTTATAACGATAGTAATAAATCAAATATGTTAATAATATAAATTTAGGAAGGGTTAGGGTTTCGCCTCCTTCTTTTAAAGTAATGTGTTAGTGAGCTCGTAACATATATATTGTTACCGGTGTTGTTAAACGGCTTTCATCCAGAAAAATATTACGCAAGCCTGAAGATTTTGCTCATAGAAGGAACATAGGTCGATGCATATATTATCGAAATCTAGAGTCCTAATCAATATTTTCCTGACTAAAATATTGAGTTGCTGCTTAACAACACTAGTTACCGGTTATGTTATAGATCAATTTATGAGTATTGTAATATTGATGTATAGAAAATTTTAACTAAGCCTTCTGGCAATCAAGGTGATATTCTTACAAATAACACTCGAGGTTTAGTCAAAACTATTGGAAAAATTATGGCTAATGGTGTTTATAGTGTATATGGGAAAATACTTGTTTTTTATTTAATATTCACAAAAATTAAATATATTTCTCAACCTTTTCCCAAAAGTTAAACTTTAAATACTCTGTTAGTCAGTACCAATTAATAGAATTTTTACATTAATTTTTAAAATTTCTAAAAAAAACTGGTGATATAATAGTTTAAAAATTGTTGTATTATCCGAAACATTATTAATTAATTTAATAATATAAATATTTTTTTTTAGTTATTAAATTTAAGAATAATTTTATACTATTTGTTACGATAAGTATAAATTAATATATTCCAATTCAAAATTAAGATTTAAGTTTACTACAAATTCAAAGATTTAAACTCGTTTATATACATTTACTTCATTACTCAATATCTAAGTAGGCAGAGAGTTGGCAAATAAATATTTATTTTAAAATTATAAAAAGTATCAAAACATATTTATATCTGTCTCAAATTATCAAATCCATAACAATTTGAATAATGATAAATAAAAAAAATGTATAATTAACTTTAGACTCATTACATTTGAATGTGTAAGTTAAAGAATAATTCAAATAAAATATAATAAAAAGATAAGTGTGTGTACTAACGAAGTAAAATGTAACTCATAAATATTATCTAATGACCTAATATAAATTAAACAATATTTTAATTTATTAATTATTTCTTTTATATAACACTTAAAATAGTATTTTTATTTTATATACTATGTAAAATTGATCAAATTATCAAAATGTATATATAATTTAATATGATATAAATAAACTTGTTATAATATAAAATACTTATGTTACAATCCCTATCCATCTTCTATGATGGCAGCGGAAAAAGTTAATGGTAAATAATAAAAATTATTATGATGACAAAAAAAATTAATTCGATTTTGTAAGTTAAAATAAAAAATATAAGCTTCTTATATAGTAATAAAATAAATACTTTCCATTTCGTGTGCCTACTCGATTCCATTTAGAAGCGACTTCGCCATAATGTTCAATATATTCTTTTAACTTAATGTTTAATGTGGGAATATTTTCAAGATCTGATCTCGAGATTATGCCTATTTTTTATGGGTACAAGTTTTAGTCGGTTTGAACTTCTAGGTTAAGCTTAAAGATAGGCTTATTTTCCTATATTTATAAATTATAATTTTAAACCAACATCCACCCCCAAAACTTGATCTAGAGATTTTATATATGTTTTAAGTAGGATCCTTATAACTGTCATAGTTGAATGTTAAACATTTGTAATATCTTCGTGTGTTTGGATTATTTGGTTTTACGTTTATATTTAGATTAATAAAATGTGATTTTTTGTGAAATCGTTTTATATTTCGATTATTAAATTATATTTTATATTTAGATTTATAGAATTTGATTCTTGTGAAATCATTATGTATTTCGATTTATGGGTTATTTTTAATTTATTTAATTTTATATTTAGTGATAATTATGAATTTTCTATGTGGTTTTGGGGTTTATATAATCCTAAAGAAATGTACTTTTTTAACTTGTTATTTTTATATATAAATTTTTCTTACAATTAGGAGCTTCCCTATAAAAGTGGAGCGTATTGTAATGTAAATTATTACTTCATCTTTCCATTTTATTTTATTAAAAAAAATTATTCTTAGTTATTAATCCTTATTGTGGATAACCAATAATAACCTAGTATTTATTTTCCTTAAATAGTTAACTTTTTATTCATTCAAGCCTAATGGTATATAGTATAAATATCCCTTTTCTTTTATCTGTTATTACATCTTCTAAAAAAGGGCCAAACATGGCAGCTACTTAAAAAATACACTAAAGCATGATATAATTTGTTTAAATTTTACTGTAAAAATTTTTTTTTCCCGATCTATTAAAGACTCTCCTAATACTTTTTAAATGATTGCTTGGCAACATAAAATTAATAATATAAACAAAGAATAATCTCATATATTTTTTTTAAAAAGTAATTAATATCTTGATAAAATATCTAAAAATTACGTGTATAGTCACTATTTAAAAATATATAACTTATATTTATATAATTTATTGTATATAGAATAAAATCTTTTATTACGTGTGATTTTTAGAATTTTAAAATACCTGATTCGACCAAGTTGTATTTCAGCCCATGCGCAGTTGTACTTATTCCTATAAACGTTAGGAAATGCTTTTAAACTACTCTTAATGAATTAAAAAATTTTAATATCGATTCTTTTTTAAAAAAATATAGATTAGAAAAAAATACTTAATATTCTTAGTGGAGAAAATGTTTTAAATCGGATAGGTACTCTACATTTCTAAAAAATATTTTTTTATGGTCAAATCACATATTTTTAAAAAATTTATAAATAAATTCATGAGCAAATGACTTAAAATTGAGAAATTAAGAATCCAATATACATGGTAAACAATACAAAAATATATTTCTAAGTTAAAATTATAACAATTTATTTAAACTATACTATATTGCATGTAAATGTAATTCTATAACATATGATGAATACGACTTTATGTCAAATTAATTATAAAAGGTACTAAATATCACAAAACTTAAATAAGTAAATAAAATTATCTATAATATTATATATTATATTTAAAATAAAATATATATATTGGAAAGCTATCACCTATAATATAAGATGTACCAATTAAATATAATATAATAGATTTATTATGAAATAAAATATTTATAAATAGACATGATTTGAAAAAGTCTAAAAAAAAATAAAAATTGTTATTTTTTACAATTTTTTGCTCTATCCATACAATACAATTTGCAGTATAAATTTCACAACAAACGAACCCTAACAAGTCATTTAGGAAATTTTGAAATAGTCAAAAATAACATAAATTGTTTTATTTTTCAATTGTTTGCTCGATCCCCACAATTAGTGATTCAAAATTTCTTCATTAAAACAATTTTTATTAACGGCTTACTTATTAATAGGAAAAATACTATTCAAGCATGATGATTTTGCTCATAGAGGGCACAAATGTTTGGACATCTATTAACGAAATCTAGAAGCATGGGCAATATTTTTCTGGCCACAATATTGAGATAGCCGTTTTTAAAAATTAGCAAAAATGGAGCGATTTTGAATCATTTCCCACTTTACAATTTGCAGTATAAGTAATTACAACTTTATATTAAACGATTAATTAGGCATTTGAGAAATTTTGAAAGAGGCTAAACATAAACTGTTTTTTAAAAATAATTTTATGCTCAATCCCCTAAATAAAATTTGCAGTATATCCTTGCATTCATAGTTAGGCACGTGTTCGTAGCGAAGTAATACAAAATATGATATAAAATTTAATTATTTTTTTCATCCATTTTTTGTATACTTTGGCGGATTCGTACGCTATTTGTGAGAGAAAGGTAAATTGTTATTCATATATTTTATGGAATTCATAGATATAGAAGAAAAAAAACATAAATTGTTTGCTATATTTCCACAATACAATTTGTGTTAAGTTGCTCCACTATACATTAAACGAATTCTAACTTATCATTTGGGAAATTAAAATAATAAATATTTGAACATTGTTTTTATTAAATAACCGGGAGGGGGGA